TTTTCGTGGGCTACCCGCACGAGCCCCAATGCAGCAGTTGGCGCGCAGCAGAGAGCAGGGTGGAATGAAACTGCAACTGCCGGCGATCAAATGCAAAGCACTTCTAGTCAATCGTCACCTGCAGGAGATCGTTTCCCTTCCCTATTATCAGTCCCTTCTCGCCCAAAACATTCCTGCCCCCGCCGATCTTCCTTGCCTAAAACTTCTCTCACAGCAAATTCCCTTATTTCCACACCACATCCAACAAAACACCTCCAGCGATCACATCCATCGTTTCTACTTGGAACAAACTGAGCTGGAACCCGTGTAAAAAAAAAACCGCGTAAAAAAAAACCGAGTAAAAAAGACTTCAGTGTACTTTGGAAATCTCCAACCGAGTTGTTAAATATCCAATTAGATTCTATTCGGAAATCTCCAACTAATGTCTTTATGTTACACAGGACTGCGGCACTACCTTTATATGTAAGTGAGATGGTTTTAACAAATGTTGTCGAAGACTCGATCACTCGATTCACACTATTTCGCAATACACGGAATAAACTATCTGACACCAACTTTATCTTTCCTACTCTATCGGTTCCAATTGCGATACATACGTTACCCGCCTTTTTTTCTGTCTATGTTCTTTCTGACGCGGTGCTCCGCTTCTAAGCTCCTGTCTAATCCAGCACACCCAGTGCAAAAACAATGTGCCCTATAGTTTATTGCGCATTTCACACACAATTGGACTAATAAGCGCGTTTTCACTTATTAAAAAGTGTGATAAAATTGCAAGTTTACGTCTAATTGTCTTGGTGTCCTTGGTGCACTTATTCCTTATGATGCAAGCAATAAGTGCTCCGAAGACATCAAAACGATTTGACGGAAACGTGCACTTTTATCACACTTTTTGCATTTTTGGGACAGTCCAGTTTCAGAGGCAATCAGCAATATACACTCGCGTAAATTGTCACTTTCAATATTGTTTCAGCCTCTGTCGGTGAATAAGAAAACCCTCAAAAGAGTGATGAGGGTGGAAATGTTCACCGTGAACGATAGCAAGAGGACAATATTTTCTCCTTTCTTGATTAATTAATCCACCGCAGGTGCTTGAAATCATCATCCGCGTGGAATATTTTGTTTTCTGTACCGGCTGGTGCTTCCATATATTTTTGATGAGAAAAATTGAGGTTTATATAATTGTACCAGAGGTTATCTTGATTTTTATTTGACAAGTTGTGCAATGGAATGTACATTATTTTGAGTTTTTAAAATCGTGATGAAGATGTAAACAAAAAGAATTGGATGACATTTCCTCTCAAAATCGGCTAGCGCACTCTACATTGCTGGTGCATGAAAAGAGCCTAATACTACGTTCACATTACAGCGTATATCACGTGATATACGATATCTTGCAATGAGCACTCATACATCTAGTTTTCACTGGAAATCCTATGTATGAGTGCTCATTGCAAGACAGCCTATATTACGTGATATAGGCTGTAATGTGAACGGGGTATAAACTTGATAGGATTGGTTCCGCTATTTGACAGCTCAATTGGTTCACGAAATTCTATCCGCCAGACTATGAATATAGCGACTATAGTCTCATAGCGTTTGTATGAGAAAATGGAAGAGTTGCCAGTCTTTTTTATTTGTTCTCTTCGGTTATAACCACTAAGGCACTTTTCTAATTTTCACTTTATTTCGACACGAATATTTCTGAACCCCAGCAGGATCCTTACAGAAACGATACAGAATTTGACAGAATTAATTTTTTTTTTAACTGGATTGCATTTTGGAGCATCTCACATGAATAAATTTATCAGTAAAAATATAAAAGTGTTCCGCTTCCTATGTCTCACGGCAAACAAACCTGCATACAACATAACCACCAGATGTTGAATCGATTGCGAAGCTTCTATTGGCAAATTAATGTTGGTTTCCATGGAGAATAGAAGAACTATGAAAGTGATGATGATTTCAATATTTTCCACGTAGAGAAATTCTTCTATTTTGCAAATGGAGCATTCTTTTTAAACCTGGTTTCTGATACAGTGGTAGGAAGGCTGAAATCTACATTTGTATACAACTAAAAATCTGAAAAAAAAATGTCTCTATTACATGTCTATTGAGTAGCCCTTGAGTTTTCTACTAACGTAGCCGAACGTAGCATTAACCAGATTTTATTAGAATACCCGCATAAACAATAACCATAAGGGGATGGTACCCGTTTATTAGGGTAATTTGTTCGCAAAACAAATGCATTTTAAAATTGCACTCGCGTACCAACTTTTATTTGTTAATAAAGCTTCTTTAATTTCTGTGTGTACACTCTAAGCTACGATTACCTAAAATTATCGGTAAAAAAATATCGTTACTTCGTTATTGGCAAATCAAAGTTGGCACTCGTGGAGAATAGACGAACTATGAAAGTGATGATGGTTTCAAAATTTTCCACGGAGAGGTATAGGAGTGCAATTTTAAAATGCTTTTATTTTGCAAATGGAGCATTTTATTTAAATCTGGTTTCTGCTATAGTGGTAGAAAAGCTGAAATCTATGTATACACTTAAAAATTAGAAAAGAAATTATTTTTTCTATATTATATGTTTATTGAGTAGTCCTTATGTTTTCTACTAACGTAGCACCAACCAGATTTAAATAAAATGCCCTATTTGCAAAATAGAAGCATTTTAAGATTGTACTCGTATACCTCACCGTGTAAAAGTTTGAAACCATCATCACTTTCATAGTTCTTCTATTCTCCACGAATGCCAACTTTGATTTGCCAATTCTTTACCGACTTTTAGGTATGTGCATCTTAGCGTGTAACATTCGTCGCTTTCCTATCCCCTCAATTTGTGTACTAAAATGTACTTTCGCTATTCACCACCAGGGTGCCCTAAAGCCCTCTAGTTAAAGTATGGACGACTGTCACAACAAAACTGAAAAAAGCTGTGCTACAGTTGTAGAAAAGCTGAAATCTATGTATACACCCAAACATCTGAAAAGAAATTATTGTAATCTATTGGCAAATCAAAGTTGGCACTCGTGGAGAATAGAAGAACTATGAAAGTGATGATGGTTTCAAAATTTTCCACGGGGAAGTATACGAGTGCAATCTTAAAATGCTTTTATTTTGAAAATGGAGCATTTTATTTAAATCTGGTTACTGCTACAGTGGAAGAAAAGCGGAAGTCTATGTTTACACCTAAAAATCTGAAAATAAATTATGTTTTCTGTATTATATGTCTATTGAGTAGTCCTGAAGTTTTCTACTAACGTAGCACTAACCAGATTTAAATAAAATGCTCCATTCACAAAATAAAAGCATTTTAAGATTGCACTCGTATACCTCCCTGTGGAAAATTTTGAAACCATCATCACTTTCATAGTTCTTCTATTCTCCACGAGAGCCAACTTTGATTTGCCAATATATGTCTATTGGCAAATCAAAGTTGGCTCTCGTGGAGAATAGAAGAACTATGAAAGTGATGATGGTTCCAAAATTTTCCACGGTGAAGTATACGAGTGCAATCTTAAAATGCTTTTATTTTGTGAATGGAGCATTTTATTTAAATCTGATTAGTGCTACGGTAGTAGAAAACTTCAGAACTATTCAATTGGCAAATCAAAGTTGGCACTCGTGGAGAATAGAAGAACTATGAGAGTGATGATGGTTTCAAAATTTTCCACGGGGAGGTATACGAGTGCAATCTTAAAATGCTTTTATTTTGAAAATGGAGCATTTTATTTAAATCTGGTTACTGCTACAGTGGTAGAAAAGCGGAAGTCTATGTTTAACCTAAAAATCTGAAAAGAAATTAAGTTTTCTGTATTATATGTCTATTGAGTAGTCCTGAAGTTTTCTACTAACGTAGCACTAACCAGATTTAAATAAAATGCTCCATTCACAAAATAAAATCATTTTGAGATTGCACTCCTATACCTCTCCGTGGAAAATTTTGAAACCATCATCACTTTCATAGTTCTTCTATTCTCCACGCGTGCCAACTTTGATTTGCCAATAGACATAAAATACAGAAAACATAATTTCTTTTCAGATTTTTAGGTGTAAACATAGATTTCCGCTTTTCTACCACTGTAGCAGTAACCAGATTTAAATAAAATGCTCCATTTTCAAAATAAAAGCATTTTAAGATTGCACTCGTATACTTCCCCGTGGAAAATTTTGAAACCATCATCACTTTCATAGTTCTTCTATTCTCCACGAGTGCCAACTTTGATTTGCCAATTGGCAAATCCAAGTTGGCACTCGTGGAGAATAGAATAACTATGAAAGTGATGATGGTTTCAAAATTTTCCAACGGGGAAGTATACGAGTGCAATCTTAAAATGCTTCTATTTTGCAAATGGAGCATTTTATTTAAATCTGGTTGCTGCTATAGTTGTAGAAAAGCTGAAATCTATGTCTACACATAAAAATCTGAAAAGAAAATATTTTTTCTATATTATATGTCTATTTGGTAGTCCTTAAGTTTTCTACTAGCGTAGCATTAACCAGATTTAAATAAAATATTCCATTTGCAAAATACAAGCATTTAAAGATTGCACTCGTATACCTCACCGTGTAAAATTTTGAAACCATCATCACTCTCATAGTTCTTCTATTCTCCACGAGTGCCAACTTTGATTTGCCAATTGAGTAGTACACTTTCGATTGGAACAACTTTTGACAGACGTCCATACTTTTGCTGTAGGGCTTTAGAGTGCACTCATAGCAATGGGTACAGAGAGAGGTGAAGCAGATCGTGAAATATCGTTGGATTAGTAAACCAAAAAATCAACGTAAACGCAATTAGTGACGTCACTAATTGCTTGTATCGTACAGTGGTTTCACTCACACAATTTAATAGATTGTTCACCTCGGAAACAATCATTGCCTTCATAGTGCTGCCGCATTAAAATTCGCCTGCTTTGTTTTTTGTTTAACTCGTGTTTTTCGCTCACAAAAATCCTCAAAAGTAAACAAAAGGTGTTTATTCCTAGTGTTCCGTTGTTTGGAATTTTGCGCTGCTTCTCCGGTTAAATTTCGTCCGAAATGACTTCAGCCGAGGAAGTGGACCCGGTGCTCACGGCCAAGCAGACCCTCATGTTGGCCCTGGGTGAAAAGTGGCCCCTCTATTTGGCCAACATGAAGCTGTGGTTTCGCAAAAAATCCTCCAAGGAAGAATTCGATCTCGAGTGCCGCAAGCTATTTAGCTCGGATCAGATGCACCTGCATAACAAGTTCCTGTTGGCGATCCTGAACAAAATCGATGCCGTTTCACCTCCGCAAAGTGTCAGCAGCTACGGAACCGAGTCCAGCCACGGTAAGAGTGGCAGCTCCAAGAAGCGCAAGCGATCATCCAAGTCTTCGTCGGATCGTGCCACTTTCGAACCGGCAACGGTGCACGACTTCATCCCGAAGGAACTGGTCGACTACGAACAGATGGCGAGTCAGAGCGCAACGATTCCGACGATTCGGTATGCGGTTCAGGAGCTGTTCCTGCCGGACAATGGGCTCGTTTTGGGACGATTGCTGGTGGGAGCGTGGGAGAACGGTCTGCTGAATGTGGATGAAAATGCGGTGGAGCTGATTGTCCACGCAGTCCAGGTACTGCTGAAGAACATCCTGATGGCGGTCATCACCAAGAGGAAGCACTTCAGGACGACGGCAAATGGGACCTTTGCGTACGACATTGGCCATCAGTTGGTCCATCCGTTCAATAGGAATACCGTTACCAAGGCCAAAATCGACGACGAACCGATGGAGCTGGACAAGGAAATAACGACCGTTTGCTACCTGAAGCCACCGCCCGGAGAGTCGATGTTTTTGGCGTCCTGTGGGGAACCGTGAGTTGAAATGGGTTTGAGCTCGGTACGGGGAGACTAATGATAGGATTTTAATTTGATTGTAGCTATCCAAATCAGAATAAGAGGATTTCGGTTTACGATGTGTACAGGACATTGCTGAACCGGAGCGTCATTCCGTCGCATTCGGTCTACTCGATGAACATGGAGCGGATATCGAGTCTGTTGTCCTGAGCGCTTCAGGCGACGAAGTTTAGGTAAGTTTGATGGATCTTCTCGCTTTAGTTGTTTAATTTGTTTAGAAGAGTAGATATACCTATGTGTAATATAGCAAACGAAGGAATTGATTGCATTCGAATATGACAGAAAAGAAAGCCGTTAACCATAGAAATTGAACTGTAATTTTACAAAATTGACCTACAAAATTACAATTTAGAAAAGACCGGCATCTCATCCTTGCTCTGCTGTGCCATCACAGCGTTGATGAAGTCCTCACTCTGCATATTGACCATGTTCATCTCCCTAATCTGATCCAGTCCTTCCTGGTTTGTGTGATCCAGTGAATAGACCATATTCTTTTTGGTTCCCTGAACCGCAATGGGGCTCTTGCTGGCAATTTCCTTCGCCAGTTCGATCGCCTGCCTCAGCATATCCTCGCGCGATTCAAACACGTGAGAAACAAGACCGCAGTCATAGGCTTCATCGCTCTTGAACTTCCTAGCCGTGAAGCATAGCTCCCTGGCCAAGCTTTGGCTGCCGATCGCCTTGGGCAGTCGCTGCAGAGTTCCCACATCCGCTGCCATTCCGATGTCCACCTCCTTCACCTGGAACCAGGCATCCCGGGTGCAGTACCGCACGTCAGCGGCCGTAATCAGATCCACCCCGGCACCGACGCACGCTGCATGAACTGCCGCTATGACCGGTTTGTAGCATCGTTCCAGCGAACTGATCGAGTCCTGGTACAGCTTGATGAAGCCCTCGAACATACGCCCCTTTCTGCCGACGTCATCGATCTCTCCCAACTGCTGGCCGAGTTTCATCATGTCCAGGAGGTCAATTCCGGCGGTAAAGTGCTTCGCACTTCCACCGGACAGGACGATGACCCGGCAGTCCTGATCGTCGTGTAGTTGGCTGAAGCACTGGCCCAGCTCGATCCACATGCGCTTGTTGAAGGCATTCAACCGTTCCGGACGGGACAGTTCTACGTGCACCACGAACGGCTGCGGGGTGGACAGCTTTAGGGTTTCGAAGTTGTACTTGGTTGCGGCGGAACACAGCGAGCGGGCTGAAAGGAAAAAGGGAAATTTCTGGGTTTACTTATGTGGTTCCGTGTGTTGATGGAGACCCACTTTGAGACATACAGTCGTGACCCACTACAATATTGAAGCACAGAAAACAGACGTCCAACTTTGGTCAGGAACTTGTGTAAAGATAAGTGGGAACGTCGCCGTTACGTGGCGCTAGCATCTTCTGATTTTCTGTATAAATTTTCCATTTTCGACCAATTTGGCGCTAGTATCGATAAATTTTCTGTTGAAAATTGCCACTTGGCGCTACCAGCACTTAGTGTCTAGTGTAAATTGTGAAACGCCAGCGCCATCAGGCTGTCAACGAGGGTTTTTAAGTGGGGAAGTCGCAGTTAGTGGCGCTTAAGTCGAATAGGAATCTTTACACTAGTTTTTAGATAAATTTTGTTCGAGCCTCAACGTCTGTTCTCTATGGCTAGTGTGAGATTCTAGAATTGAAATTTAGACACAGAGAACAGACGTTGAGGCTCGAACAAAATTTATCTAAAAACGAGTGTAAAGATTCCTATTCGGCTTAAGCGCCACTGACTGCGACTTCCCCACTTAAAAAGCCTCGTTGACAACCTGATGGCGCTGGCGTTGCACAACTTATACTAGACACTAAGTGCTGGTAGCGCCAAGTGGCAATTTTCAACAGAAAATTAATCGATACTAGCGCCAAATTGGTCGAAAGTTGACAATGTATAGAGGAAAATCAGGAGATGTTCTCACTTATCTTTACACAAGTTTTTGACCGAAGTTTTATGTCTTGCACTAGCGAATCAATTTTCGAAAAATCTTCAATTTCTTAATGCAGGAAATCTTCAGAATCGTCATCAATCTTCTTTCTATCTACACAGCGTGCGCGCCAGCAAGCCACAGCAAAACGCAATCTTTCCTGCAGCGTAGATAGAATCGTCTCCTTAGAAAATTTGTGACTTTCATAATAAAATAGTAATTTTTTGGTCCAGTTTTCTGGAATCGCTGTTAGAAAGGTCAAAACTGCTTGAAAAAGTTTTACTCCGGGGATGAAATTTGAACTAGGTCACGATGCATGGATGCTAACTACTAAGCCGGGCCCGCCCCCTTTCAGATTTTTGTTATGATTGATAAACTTCTCCGTAATCTATGACTATACTAAGTTGTTGAGAGCAGCCATTCTGAGAAGACGACAATAGCTGGCTCTATTAAACCAACTTTCTTTAGTCTTGTTTAAAATTGACAACACTTCGCTACTTACAGCCTATAAAACTACTCACCGGCCTGATTCGTTGCCATTGCGGACATGGAACTAGTTGAAAGACCTAGAAATGAATACCACATCTGTATCAGAATATAAACTTTGGACTCTTAAACATTGATAGGAAACCAACTTACTTAAAATCTTTGCAGATTTTTGGATCGCCGACAAACCATTCTTCATCATGTTGACTTAAAACAGATAACTCTTTGGGTACACTTTTAAAGCTTGGAAACAAATGCAACAGGTCCGAAATGCAATGTAATTAACATAGATGGGTACCTAATAATGGACTTTGAGCCGTGAGTCGTCTCTCGCGTAACTGGCTGAAGAGAAGATGATAATAAAGTGATGTATGAAGGCTGAACGGCAGGAGAAAAACAAAAAACAACACGAGTATACACGGTAACTTGAAAATACCCATTAATGAGTAAAATTTCAACCATTTTGAAAAAAAATGCTTAACCAAATTTGTTTATCCATTTAATGAGTATCTGCTAACTATTAAATAACAGTAATGGGTAACAGTTTCTCATGAAATAGGTAAATTGTTTACCCATTAATAGGTTAAGCCACTTTACTTAAAAATGGGTGAAATTTTACTCAATAATGGATACTTTCAAGTTAACGTGTAGGGTAGATAGCGGATTCGAAAATATGACAAGAACATATCGGGCGAACTCTGACCGACAACGATTGAATATTAAATAGGGTACATTTTTTGGAAAGTGTTATTCGAACAAGTTAAATAATTTGAATTTACAAAAAAATAGCTTGCTTTTAATAGGCCTTTAAATAAAAATTATTAAAAAATATCTGTTTCTGCAACAAGTCGTATTTTATCCAACGCGGCTTGCCGAGTTGGATAATTACGACGAGTGCTGGAAAATACACAATGAAGAGATATCTTCAAATCTAGCGTTCTCTGTCTTTGACAGATTCTAGATAGAGCTGGAATTAGGACGTAACAGCTTTTGTAAACCATGACTTTTCTCGATGATTTGCCAAGTCCTTGCACATATCGGCTTGCGGCACGTAGCCTTTGCGCGAGCTATTTAGCATCTCGTAGAACTTCCGTGTGTCGTTTACGCGGTACAGATTTTCCATCGCCTCGCGATCTCGGTCTTCCTGCTGACGCTTCTTCTTTCGGAAAACCGAGTTTTGTCTGTTCCGCCCTTGTCTGTATCGCTCCACATTCAATCTCGTGCGGTGTTGCAGCATTCTCGTCCGTACTGCATTCTTCTCCTCTACTAACAGTTTGCATTCGCCGTCAAACCAGTCATTTCTTCGGTCTCTACGACAAAGCTGCGAACTAATTAAGTTATTCAAAAGAAGCGCTTAACTAATACAAACAACTTTACTGAAAACAGTATTCTGATTGGATGCAACGTTCAAAAGTTATTAAGTTTTTCCGAGAAAATCACTGATCTGCCCCAGTGTGTGACGTGGGGGAATTTCCTTGTTGACGCGAGATGATCGACGAAGATTTTTGTCTCCTTCAAACTCCTCGAATGCAAGTTCATTCTCGACGAAACTGTGAAACGAATTGCTGTCATCGGTTCCATCCTCTTGCTCCGAAACTACTTCAGGATCTTCGAACATCGGTTCATCAACGACTTCTTCTGTTTCAAGCTGCTCGCGCGTACCATTAGTTAGTTCAAGGAACTTTGCGTCCCTACTAATAGTGACACGGTTCGTAGTGGAGTCCAAAAAACGATACGCCTTCCTGCCATCAGCATATCCTACAAACACCATCTTTCTTGCCTTCGGATCAAGCTTTCGTCTTCTCTCATCCGGTACGTGAACGTACGCTTCACTCCCAAACACTCGGAGGAAAGAATAGTTTGGTTTTCTTCCCCCACCAAAGTTCAAACGGTGTAGCTTCGATCGCAGCAGTCGGTAGTAAGTTTTGCAGAAAATAAGCAGTTGACACTGCCTCCCCCCAATATTGTTTACCAAGTCGAGCTTCCATCAAAAGACATCGCATCATCTCTTGCAAAGTGCGATTCTTTCGTTCAGCCGTGCCATTCTGTTGAGGGCTGTAGGGTGCTGTTTGCTCCAATCGGATTCCATTTCCAGTCAAAAATGTGTTCAACTCAGTACAGGAGTACTCTCCTCCTCCATCCGAGCGTATTATTTTCGGCAACCTACCAAACTGATTCTGCATCATTTTTGAGTACTCGACTATCTTTGCAGCCGCCTCCGACTTGTGCTTCAGCAGATATAGAACGCAATACCGGCTGTAATCGTCCACCATAGTCATCAGGAAACGATTTCCTCGAGTATGGACAAGATCTCCTACAGCGCTAGAAGAGGACACGGACTTGTTTGGAAATGGTGCACGACACATTTTTCCTTCATAGCACACTCCGCAATCAGCTTTAACATCACACTCCTGCAAATTTAGTTTAGTGAACTTAACTCAAATTTGGGTCGTTCTCATTCGCTGTGTACGCAAAAGGAAAGAGCCAGTATCGCTACTTGATAGCAAACTACTCATAATGGGAGGAGTCTTTGTAGCTTTTATACCACTTGGTTGCACATCATTCTGCTTTAACCTGAAAAGATATAAAAGAGCGCTGATGTATGGCATTAGTTCATTTTCGCTTCGGACGGCGTGGTGAAGAGCAATAGCAGCAGTAGGAACAAGCAACAATTGACTGGTCGTGGCAAAGGAGGAAAAGATCTTGGTTAAAGAGGCGCCAAGCGTCATCGCAAAGTTCTTCGAGATAACCGCCATCGGTCGTCTGGCTCGCCGTGGTGGTGTCAAACGTATCTCCCGTCTGATCTACGAGGTGTGCTGAAGGTGTTCCTGGAAAATGAGGTCCGTGATGCTTTCACCTACAATAAACACGCCAAGCGTAAGTGGTAGGGTTACCATATGGTATCCTAAAGGAGGACATGTCCTCCTTTTTCAATAATGTTTCTACATCCTCCTTTTGCCTGAAAATGTCTTCCTTTTTAGTACTTTCATTTTTTCCAGTAATATATTCATAAAATTGTTTTCAAAGAGCGTTGTTTACAGAGCTTATATGTTTAATTTTGTCACAACCTAATCTTATCTAGCAAATGCCATTCGAAGGTGGGACTAGGAGCAACTACAGTTGTCAACCCCCCTGCATTTTGGGTGCGGTTCATTTGGTGAATTTAAGTTATATTTGACAGATGGAAAATTTTCAAATAAACCTGCTATTGTACCAGACTTATTTCAGACAAACCAGGAATCAATTTTGACAAATAATTTCTTGAAAATCGGACAACAACAGATAGATTTGTGAACATTATAATTTATTTTACTAAAATTTGACATTTCAAAAATACATTATAATGTTCGAAAATCTCTCTGTTGTTGATCGTGTGATTTTTGAGAAGTTGTTTGTCAAATTTGATTCCTGGATTGCCAGAAATAAGCCTGGTACAATAGCAGGTTTATTCGAAAATTTCATATCTGTCAAATTTAAGTTAAAATTCACCAAGTGGAATACAGCCACACATATTGAATCTAACCTGTGTTCGATTTTGACGTTCTGGTTCTATAAATAGTACGCTAATCACGCCTCTTCGCTCCCACTATGACAGCGGCCTATGCTGAATCAATTGTAAAATTAACAGGTTGCTTAGATGTTCCATGTTGGTTTCAATCATCGATGAATTATGAAGGCTAGATTGATGCTTTTTTCAGAAGTATAACGAGAAGATTAATTGAATTGGTAACGACTACAAATCAATCTCAATTGAACCTTTGCAAATCATGAATTATGTGATAGCGCACATATTTTTAAAACGTTTTATAAAAACTCATTGTCCTCATTTAATTTTAAGAAAAGGAATCATTGTCCTCCTTAGTCTCCAAACCTCAAATGAAATGTCCTCCTTTTCATTTTTTGATATGGTAACCCTAGTAAGTGGCCATGGATGTTCTCTTCAATAAAACGGCCCTTTTCAGGGCTATCAAGCTTACATCAGTAAAGAGTTGGAATAGAATTTATCTGTGCTTGTTTGTCCATATTCAGAACCACAAGCCCCCAACGACAACACAAAATGCTCTCTAGAGTTTTAATCTTGTAACCAAACTTGGAAGCAGGGATACAAGTGATTTTAATTGATTCTCTTAATCAACTTTCTCTTTGTAAAAAATTACTACAAATTTGGTACGCCTACAATTTAAGAACGGAAAGAGCTGATCAATTAAAAGAACTAAATGCTCTTCACATTTATTCCGTCCACTAACGGTCCTACGTCAAGCTTCCGTTCGTGCCCCTAGGCACAGACCCAAGTGCTGCCACTGGATCACTACAATTTTTTTTTTTTTTTGTAGTGATCCAGTGGCAGCACTTGCTTAAACTCTACACTGGACCCCTTTTATTGATAAATTTTGCTTCTATGAGCCTCTATTTTAAATCAACACACAGACGTTCCTAGGCTATGGTGCCCGTATGGTCACTGTTGTTTTTGTGCTGATCCAAATAGTTTTGATAATATAATTGCGCATTCTTTTTTTTTTAAAGGTTGATTTTTGTCCCAGTCTTGTCTTCTGTCGTCACTTATTTTGTCATTTTGTCTTGTGTATTAACCCCCACTTGTCTTGTTGTTCCATAGTTCAAACATTTATCCCAAATCAAAATGAAGCACATATAAGATTAGTTACAATACCATGTACAAAAATGGTGTTTAACATTGTTTCCTGAGTAATACTTCAATCAAAACAACAATGAAAGCTTGTCACGCAAATAGAAGGAGCACCGATGGGCACTTTCTGAAATATTTCAATAGTATAATTCCCTTGCAAACCCAAATAAATCTATCTGCGTAAAAATAAATAAATTAAGAGTGATTTGCGGCAAAACCCGCCAGTATCACACCCAACGTCAGTGCCTATACGTAAGCGTACTACGACGCGGCTCTCAATTAAAGGAGTAACAAGTGTGATACTATCACTGCTAGACTAGATCTTTGGTTCTCTCATGCAGTGGTTTATCAGAGAGGGGAAGCTTAGTAATCCCCATTGTCTGCCCATGACGCCATTCTGTCGCGGCATGAGCCAGCAACGCCGACCATAAACCTACCGTCTCCAACACTCCACTAGCATGAAATTAAGCCCGCCCACCAACATCAAGGTGCAAAAACTAGCCAAGGGGAGGGAGTTGTAAGTTGTAATCTTGTAACCAAACTGGGAAGCAGGGGTGCAAGTGATTTTGATTTATTCTCTACAACAACTTTCTCTTTGAAAAAATTACTACAAATTTGGTACGCCTACAATTAAAAAACGGAAAGAGTTAAGATAATAGATGATTGATCAATTAATAGAACTAAATGCTCTTTACTTTTATTCCGTCCGCTAGCGGTCCTACGCCAAGATTCCGTCCGTGCCCCTAGGCACAGACCGTTCTACTTTTTTTTTATAGTAAGGTTTAGGAAAGCTTCACGAAGCCTGGCCTGTAGTGAAGTTGGCACGGTGTGGTATCCACTAGTTGCCCAGTGCAGCTCCACTAAAACCCATTCCTTACTCTCTCTCCTCTGCCTGGATCCCCCCTGGGACCACTGTGAAGCGACTACTTCGGATGTATGCATCACCATTATCAAATGGATGTTATACCTCGGGTTATACATACACACTTCCAGGTTCGAAAATATTATTTTCAACCCTAGCATGTATTTAGCTTAATTTTGATATTTAATTTGTAAACAATAATTTGGACAGCTCTCACCATATTCTGCTCTTTCGCCGCCGTTAATTGCTTCCTTTGGAATCTCTTGGACTTTTTCTCTAACGCTTCGTATTTCATTCGGTGCATCACCGGCAATTTCCTTCGTCGTTGGTCGGTTTTGACATGATTCCACCTTTTCCGGGTTTTTTTTGTTTTCCGAGGGAGATAAATCCGTACTAATTTCCGTTCCTGGGGTTCGATGTTGACTCCTTCCACGCTGGTTGGTTGGTGTGGTCGGTTTCATGTCCACCATCTGTCACTGTATTGCCATGGTGATCTGGGACGAGGGTCCCGACTACATGGTTACTTGGGTGCTTTTAAAGTTACTTAAACTCTACATAGAACAATATTTCTACAATGTTATTTGTTCTAGAGAGAGACGCTTGAAGTTGCCTGGAATTATGGCTCAACCAATGGGAGCTCAGTAAGAAGTTTTACTAACGCAAAGTAAGAAAGAGAGTCCGGCACCAGCCGGTCGAACATATCGGTGCGTATGCAATAAATATTGATTGGCTATTAGTCGGGTATGGGAACAAATGTGGTTCGGAGAAGGCAGAGCCAGATTACGTCTGTGTGGGAATCTGGATTTGGTTTTGTATTGAAGTGACGGGGGTCGTCATTATGTGTTACATGGGAAAATGCTTTAGCAATAATTTTAGTTTGAAGTGGTATTTTGCTAAGCAATCAATTGTAAAACACCACGTAGGTAATGGTTAGTAGCACTTTACTGGCCTGGGCGATGTACTCCAAGAGGCGATGGATGAGGAACTCCATGTCGACATAGCGGCCCTGGATTTAGCTAAGGCGTATAACCGCGCCTGGACCCCCCAAGTCATCAAACAGTTGGCTGACTGGGGTCTGGGTGGCCACATTCTACACTTTTTAAAAAAATTCCTTTGCGGCAGAAGCTTACAGGTGATGATCGGGAACCACCGCTCCTCAACCCGGGCGGAAGTCCCACAGGGATCCGTCATAGCGGTCACCATCTTCTTGGTCGCCATGGATGGAGTCTTTGGGGTCCTACCAAAAGGAATATACATATTTGTATATGCAGATGACATCGTCCTGCTGGCTTTAGGACGCACCCTCAAGGCTCTGCAAAGGAAATTACAAGCTGCTGTATCAGCCACCACAAGATGGGCCAGTAGGGTCGGCTTTGAATTATCCGCAGAAAAGAGCGTATTATTATTATTATTATTATCTCTATTTAGGAGATGCCACTTCCGTCATCGCCCGCTACCAACAGCCATCGTTGCGAACAATATTCCAATACCCAACAAGAAGACCATCCAGGTTCTCGGTGTACGCTTGGACCGGGAGCTGAGGTTCGACGCACATTTCAATGAAATCAAAGCCAACTGCCGCACGCGGCTAAACCTCCTCCGAACACTTTCCAAACCACACCGGAGCAGTAACAGAGAGATTCTACTAAAAGTGGCCAAAGCCACTGTAAACAGTACATTATTCTACGGGATCGAACTGTTCTGCCTTTCCAACGACTCTCTTACCGCACGACTAGCCCCAACGTATAACCAGGCAATCAGAATCGTCGCAGGACTTCTGCCTTCAACACCGGCTAAATCGGCATGCGTCGAACTCGGTGTACTACCGTTTCAATACCAAGTCACCGAAACGCTGAGCTGCAGAACGACCAGCTACCTGGAAAAGACCACCAGGAACCACGAGGTCTTTCTCCTCAGGGAGGGGAACAGAGCTCTAGGAAACTTGGTCCATCAGGAGCTCCCACCCGTGTCCAGGGTACACTGGAACGGAGCCAGAGGATGGACAGAACCAACCATACGCGTTGACCACGTAGCGGAGCTGCTGAGAACTAAATACGCAAATTTTCAAGACAGTTACACGGACGGCTCTAAGGCCATGGGAAAGGTCGGATTCGGAGTAGCGGATGTATCCAATAGCTACTTCTTTCGACTACCCGATCAGTGCTCCGTCTTCTCGGCGGAGGCTGCGGCCATCCACTTCGCCACCACGACACCCGCCAATAAACCCATATGTGTCCTAACAGACTCCGCCAGCGTTTTATACGCCTTGAATTCAGCAACATCCAGACACCCCTGGATACAAGGGATCCAAAAGGCCGCGCCGCCGAACACCTCATTTGTTTGGGTACCCGGCCATTGCGGTATCCGGGGCAACTGTGAAGCAGATCATCTCGCTGCCACAGGTCGCTCCGGCCGGATGGCCACCACAGTTGTACCCAGTCAGGACGTAAAAAAATGGGTGAAAGCATCCCTCCGAGACGCCTGGGCCCGGGAGTGGTTCGCAAAAAGGGGACCGTTCCTGAGAAAAATAAAGGGCGACACCTCCAAATGGAATGACATTACGAGCCGATGGGAACAACAGGTCTTATCCCGGCTTCGATCCGGACACACCCAAGTGACCCACAACATGGGTAGCGCTACCTCTTTTCGGAAGTTTTGCGACTCCTGCAACACGATTATGACAGCCGAACACCTGATTGTTAACTGTCCCTGCTTCCATAACATCCGGCGTAACGCCTTCTCTAACGACCCGTCCACGGAAGCAGTCCTAATAGTTTTCCTAAAAGATGCTGGACTGTTCTATAAAATATAATCACTGGAGTAAGCCTGACGATTACCTGGCTGCCTTCGACAACGACCACCGCCATTCACACCATGATCCGCTAACCACGCTAAGAACCACGACAGGAACTATAATGAACTCTGTTTAAAAATACTCTGTACTAAGGGGACTCCCTTCTGGAGCTCCACCAACCTCTAGGAGAACCCCTTCTGGGTTCTCCAAACTCTCAACTGTGTAATTAGGGAAGCCCCCTTCTGGGGCTCCCGGAGATGAACCTCCTAAATAGAGATAATAATAGTAATAATAATAATAGTAGCATGGGAACAATTGATTTGGAATGAGGGAATGTCTGGTTTTTGTCAAATGTGCCAATGTGAGGATTTCAAGTGGACTGCTAGCACTACTGTTGGTTGTAGTGAGTAGTTTAGATGTCAGGAGTTAGATATGATTAGTGAGATGTAAGGACTGAGCTCTAAAAAGTGAGGATCGCGAAATGAATAAGTAAGGTGAGATAAGAGAAGTGAGAAATGTATATTCAAGAAATGCGAGGTGAACAGTGAAATATTAGAAACCTAGAACTTCAAAAAGTGAGAAGAAAATAAATGAAAAGTAAATGAGATATGAATGTGTAAAAAGTCGCGACTTCCTAGATTTAGTGAATCTATCAGTACATATTTGTTTATTAGGGAAGCGAGATGTATGAAGTTAAATGTGAGGAATGAAATGTAAAGTATGAGTAGAAACATATAGTAAATAGTATAACCTAAGATGTAAGAACTGTAAGGACCATAATGTTCTAAAATTGAAACTATTGTTTTAACTTTCAGTTAATTGCTGCAAAATTTGCCATGATCATCTTCCTCCAATCGGACTGTACAGAGTGAATTCGGCTTGACGAAATTCATTTCGCTCGATTTCATGGGGCGCACTCTTCTATAGTCTTTTCAGCCGCCTCCTGACATCGAAACTGAACCTATCTATATTATGTTTATTCTTGAAATGAAGTGCTCGCACACTTCATCTGATTCGCAGTTAGTTGGCTTCAGGCCGCCGCATCGTACACTAAGCTAAGCGAGATTGTGCCTTGAACCATTTCCAAGATAGATATAAGTCACACGGGGTCTCACACGTATACCTACTCTACTACATCTCTGGAGTCGTCGAAGTCGTCATCGCAGCAGGATTAGAAAGTGCATCCTGATCAAATTTTCTGCTGCTATTTAAGCACTTCTTAGGTATTAGTATTCCAAATAAGGCCATTTTCTTTGGAACACTGTTTTAAGATAAGATCATCCCATCCGATAGTAGGTGAATAACATTGAATTCGGGAACGAAACAAACCACTACCTACTATTAGGTAGATGGAGGTGAATGTTTCATTTTACAGCAACAAGTTATCAAATGTACTTAGTGACGTAACGAGTCGTACTTATATGCAACACAACGATAACTCGCAGATCATAACACAAAACCATCGTGTAAGTTTCTCAAGAAGTAGTGGTTGGTGGTCAGCAATAATAAGAGGTGATTTAAAGTGAAGCCGACTGATTGTTTGAAATTGTTTTGAACATTTGAGCCATTCGAGAGCCAAAAGTTATCCCGTTGACAACACAGGTGAGTGCCTTATGAAGTAGGCTGAGTGATCAGTTTATTTTTTTTTCTCAAAGCCATCTTTGTCTTGCTTCCACTTTGTATGACTCTTCTTCGAGCAGAGCTCGATTATTTAATGGTTTTGGATTTGCGTTTCTGTGGTCAATGACAAAAACATAATCGTTTGTTTGTGATAACGTGTTTACACCACAAATCAAAGCTCGTACCGGTTGAAGCTTGTTATGTGAGGTTTTCAACGTGATGATAAGGCGATAAATGCTGCTCAGTAGGTATCGTTGATAGCATGAATGGGTCGAGATTGGAGTAGCTTCAGAATGCACATCTGACATCAAGATAAGTGAGGATTTATGATGGTTCCGCAGTCGGAATTGCCTAAATTGCTTAGCTCTCCTAATATGATGCAATCGGTTGCAACAGTATGCTGCCCATAAATGAAGATATGGCTAATGTGGCGAAAACGGAATTCTAAGTAAAAAGAGGGTTGAATGTTTCAAGCGATAAATCAATGAAATCACGAAAATATGCAGTCTTAAGCTTTAATAAATGATTAAATTAGTCGTTTCTTCATTTATGGGCACATAATGTGCGTTGATGAAATTTGAAGAAGTCTTGTTTTCATTGTGCCTTACCTGACAGCTCATAAAGAACATGTGGTCACGTACGAATTTAGATGAATAGGTGATAATTCCTGCTTCCTGCTGACTAATTTCAACATTTCAACTATGCTACAGTAAACAGATTAATTTCCTCGTTGCCGGTTTACGAAAATGTGGTTGCACCCAAATGGGCTCATGGCGTGAGTTGTTGAGTGTTTGTGTGTTGAATGGGCTTATACTAATGGACTGAGCGAAACCTCTGTTGATTTTCGTCATATTCGAGATGTTTTTACTAGAAAATCCCGAAAAATTCAACTCACTTCACAGAACTTCAAAATTACCCCAAATATAGTTAAACCACTGACAAACAGACGTAACTTTTGTAGCCGCACGTTATTCCATTCAAAGGAGTGCCGTTGCGGTTCAACCAGGCCAGTGACAAGGCCTATACCATCAGCAGCGTTTGACAGTAGGCAGCATGTCCCGGGCTCAAATAGTTTATTTTGCTGTTTTGGGCCCGCTGTCACAGTATAACATGTTGCCTACACACCTGCCACTGGGCTGGGTTCAACAGTAAACTTCAATGAGCCTCAAAAGAAAAAAGATGGGGTGAGCTCGAGCGTTCACTGTAAGAGAGTAGCTTAAGCGCCACCTCGTCAAAGGACTTCTCGCTCGGATATCAGGGATAAGACTCGCCAAAGAAAGGCCATAAGTAGGCCCTGACGCCCCTCAACGTTCGTAGCGTCCGACTTACTAGATGCCAGAATCTTTTGGTTAAAATTTGACAGATGAAAAGTTATCGATCAACCCTGCTATCCGAGCATGGTTATTTCTGACAGACAAGAAGTTAAATTTTGACAACCGTGGCTCGAAAACCGGTCGATCGACAGCACGGGGATTTTCGAAAGAAAATAATTTACGAAATGTCACTTTTAACCACGAGTTAAATTTAACTCGGCAAATGGTTCACAGCCTTAATCAGGAAAGGTGAAAATATGTTCCCTTCCTAATAACTCTTTTGGGTATTCCCTAGGGGCATCCCACTCTAAACTATAGCTCTAGTATCAATTAAGTATTTCGAAGTATCTGATAAGTATTCTTAAGTATTTTTAAGTATTTTAAGATTTGGATTTTTTAATCGTAGTGACCGGTTATTAATGTAGTTGTTTACTGTTGTGTATCCCGTCAATGTATTACTTTTAATCACGTATTAAAGCATATTAATACTAGTTTCAATATGTTTTAAATTAAATTAAGAAGTGTGATCATGTTTATAAGTTAAAATACTTACTTCTAGTTATGAAATAGTTCATCAAAAACATTTTACTTTCAGCGAACCAGTTGGAGCAGGGATAGCGAATTATTTATGATTTCGAACTGGCTGTTTAGTACGATTTCAAACTTTTGAATTATTTAACTAGATTTCAAACTGAACTGCCAAAATAAAAGCGTATGTTGAATGTCAATTCGACTAAGAACTATCGCAAGCTACATGATTATGAAATTCTTGACTTTAAGCAGGCTAAGGATGCTAGGACTACGCTGGTTATTTGCCAGAGGACAATAATGCATAACTACCAGCAATTCGTTGTGCCGGTGGGCTCGAAGTTGAACTAATTGCAATTGCCACTGATGGTCGTATCGTACCGCGTTTTGATAAATTTACATTGGTAAATATGAGTTATGACGGACTGGTGAGGGAGTTGAGTGAGTATCCTGATAGCAACCGAAGGCTTTATGTGAAATCAACATGGATTTCTCACTTTTTTCAGTAAGTAAGGATAAGAAAAATATTAATCTGTTCTGAAATTATAATTTATATCAAACCATTGATATACCAAATAAAACGATTTAGTTCTAAAACGTTACTTATTTGTAACAATTTCAAGTAAAATAATCCTAAGTTAAAATGTAAGAATTTATTTCAAACCATTCCCCAAACAGTCCAAATTAAAATTTTAACACATAGCCGTTTCTGATGAATGATAGAATCAATCAGAGAACTGTTCCGAATATGTTGGTTTGATTATGTCCAGCCTTAATAAGGCTTAGATCTTATTTTGGGCCTAGTAAGCACAACCCACCTCTATTTTTATAACGATTATTTTTCAAAATGGAATGTTCTAACTACAGATGTCTTCCAATGTTATGGAACTTTCCGTACATATCGTAAGATTTGATGAAAAGTAACACATTTTTGAGATATTTTTAAAAATCTAACACTAATTCTTGACCCTAAACTTGGCCTTTGGATTCTAAACTCGACCTAACGCATTGAAACGCCATTCAAACGCAATTGAATTCATTTTGTTTTTGTTTTTTGAGAATAATGGGTGCAAACATTAATATCACATTTTCTTATTGACTTCGTTCGGTAGATTTGGAACAGAAGTATCGTACCAAACGCATAATTGACTTGTTAACGCCGTAATCATGGTTTGATTTGATGTTTTCTGCTAAATAGGCCCAAAATGGGCGATTAGGCTGAAGTAGCTCTCTACCCTAATAAGCCTTAAGCAGGAGAGCATCGAAGGTTCCAAATCCGAGGAAATGTGATTCTCCTCTCATTCGACGGCAATCTAGGAGATGTGGCTTGGCGGATGGTGCAGAAAGCTTTCACAACTTCTTATTCAGCTTCAATCAGCGTAAAGGCCTGAAGTTATCGTCCAACAGTCAAGAACCTAATGGACGAAAAATCCATCTTTATGGAGACATGGTTTTGGAATACGAACATTTGCTCAGGGAATTTGCTTCCACACGCAGTATCTTCCACAGTATCTTTCCAAATAGTTCCTTATTCTTCCTTTGAATGATAGGTGAATCGGTTTGGCAATGTAATATTCCTAAAATCAAAATGGTTTCCTCCTCGATTCCTACAAAAAAGGAATAAATTAAAGAATAATAGTTGATTTTTCTAAATACGCACATACAAATTCCAGGATGACACCGGGTAAACAATCGAAAAAAATCTGTCTAGCAACGGAGGTAACAAACTAGCGCCAAATATTTCTTAAGTATTTTTAAGTATTTGTAGGTATCTTAGATATCAGTAAGGACTTTCTGAGTATAATGCGAGAAATACAAAGTTTAGAGTGGGATGCCCCTAGGGTATTCCCCTATTCGCGAACTGAGGCTGAAACGATCGCTTAGTTTCTATTGGATTCACCTATTCATAATGTAAATTTATTCCTGTTTTCTCACCACATGGAATCTCATTAGGTTTAGTTTATAGCGAATTCGTTTATTATCGAAACCGTTTATGCGAAACCGAACTTTTTGTCAGTGCGAACCTCAACCTGAGCTAGGTTTTAAAAACAAACGAGCAAACTGACGTTTGTCAGAAAACAAGCAGACCCAATCTTGATACCCGATCCATGTTGGAACTGAATAATATTTGTATTTGTATTTATTTAGTGATACGTTAGCCTGTAGTTGACACTTTTTACCAGGTCAAGGAAGAATACATTTTTTGAAAGAAACTCACTTTACGGAAAACTAAAAAAAAAAGCTACAAATGGTGACAAATGTAATTGAAATTGAAGTTAATGTAGTGCTATAACCTATGTTTGAACGCCAATTCTATACCTATGTTAACCTCTACCAGGTGTGTTAAGACATTGCTCAAATAGGACTAAAGTTGGTTGTTGTTTGGCTGCAAGTGGCAAATCGTTCCAGGTGAGCGTCCCTGACACTAGCAAACTCCTTCGAGCCGATGTGGTGTGTCTAGGAACGATGAAGCATCGAGATCGGTCGTGCAATCCGCGTTGCAGGTGTTGTTGCAGATAATCCGGAAGTGCCTCAAGATACCCCTGTCTTATGAAGCAACATATTCGATTGTGGTAGTTCTTTGAGAGGTCGTGCCCTAAAATGGTATTACGTACAGCAGCAGTGCTTTCTCGATGACTAATGTTGTACACGAAGCGTACCGAGGCCTTAAAGCATCGGTTTAATTGTTCTTTGAAGGCTCCATTATAGTAGACCACATCGCAGTACGTAAAGAACGGTATGATAACTGACTGCACCAGCTTCTTGCGTGTTTGTGTAGATAGTACCGGGGCGAATCGCCTGAATGTTCTTAACGTTCCAAACACTTTTGATGTTACATCGTTGATCTGCGCATACCAGTTCAATTTTTTGTCCATTCGGAGTCCAAGGTTGACGACAGTATCTGAGAGAACAATCGGTTCTCCGCAGAACACAATTTGGCAAGGCTTGAGACTTTTTCGGATTAGGGTAGAGAACGTTAGCCTTAGCCCAATGCTCGATTGCTGCCAGATCCTGATTGATAGTTGCAATCAGTCTTCTGATATCACACTTCAACTGTGACGGGAGGCTGTTTATATTTAAGCTGAATAATAGTGCACTGAGGCAGGATCCTTGCGGGGTGCCATCGGGTACCAGGCGCTC